CACTTTCTGGTTTCGAAATGGATGAGGAGACAAGGGAGAAAATGATTTTGAGATTGAAGGATCACGCAAGAGGATTGGTTGAAGCAAAAGCAAAAGAAGAGGCTGGGAGGGTTTTGATTCGCATGAAGGACAGGTGCTTGCTGTGTGTCATATATTCATATTACAAATTCTATTATTTGCAAGATTGATGTTCTGTTTTTTCTGCTTTGTACGTGTGGGAACTGACCAGGCCATAATTCTCAGGTTTTCAACATTATTTAGCCACGATTCTGACTCAATGCCACGGGTCTGGACTGGAAAGGAAGATATAAGAGCAATCACCAGATTCGCTCGCTCTTCTGTATGACATGCTCTATTAATAGATCAATCGGGATATTTTTTGTGGATATCTCTGTAATTCTTGTTTTTAATATTTGTCTCTAGTCATTGAAGTTGTTATCTGTCATGGCCGCGATTCGTCTGGACGACGATGCTGATGCTATTGAGAATACACTGTCCCTGGCTCTTGTTGACCCCAAAGCTGCTGCTTCAACAAATAAGGGAACTTCTGTGGACCTTCTTGCCTCCAGTACTTGGGAGGAGGTAATCATTTTAGTTGCTGAATTGATTCCTTTTTGAAGTCAATGACTCCATATTTCAACTTTAGCTTTTTAAAAGCTGATGTATAGTTGTAAAAAAAATTTCTTGGAAGATTATATGACCACTAAACTACATAAATTTCCTTGAAAGATTATATGACCACTTCATTTCTGTCGAACTTTTTACTCATACAATTGAAGCCTAATTAATTGGTTCCTTTTTGAAGTCAATGACTTCATATTTCAATTTCAGTTCTTTAAAAGCTGATCTATAGTTTTTGAAATTTTTTTCTGAAAGGATATAGATGTGAATTTTGATGTCTCGTCCACTAAACTACATAAATTTCCTTGGAAGATTATATGACCACTTCATTTCTGTCGAACTTTTTACTCAATACAATTGAAGCCTAATTAATTTGTTCCTTTTTGAAGTCAATGACTTCATATTTCAACTTCAGTTCTTTAAAAGCTGATGTATAGTTTTGAATTTTTTTTCTGAAAGGATATAGTTGTGAATTTTGATATCTCATCCACTAAACTACATAAATTTCCTTGGAAGATTATATGACCATTTCTGTTTAACTTCTTAATTGTACAATTTAAGCCTAATTAATTTCGGTGCATTTCTATGGTTATGCTTTTAACTCCTCTTTTCTCACAATCTAGTACTTGAAACTTTGTATTTAGATGCTCGTTCCTTGCGTAATCTATCCAAAATGCACCTAATACTTGTTTTCTTGAATTTTCTTCGCACAGGTCCCAGCATCTAAAACCTTGATAACACCGGTCCAGTGTAAATCTTTGTGGAGGCAATTTAAAACAGAGACTGAGTACACTGTTACTCAAGCCATTGCTGCTCAGGCATGGACTTGCACACATAATGCTTCTGAATATCTTTTAGTCTATTTCATCGAATCTTAATTTCCATTTGTATTCATATTTATTCATTTTTTTAAATTTTATATGGCTAAGTTTGTTATAGATCTATTATTTGCTAATTGAGCAAATGATTGCTGATTTTATTGCTTCTCGACTTTCAGGAGGCTAGCCGGCGAAATAACAACTGGTTACCACCTCCATGGGCAATCATTGCTTTGGTTGTCTTAGGTTTCAATGAATTTATGACACTTTTGAGGTAATTCCTTTTTTTTTTTTTGGAGGGGAAGGGTTGTTGGTTGGTCATACCTGGTAACTCTGGCCTGAGATTTTCCTCAAAAGCTATTTACTCATGTTGTGCCCTCTTTTGGCAGAAATCCGCTGTATTTGGGTGTTATTTTTGTTGCATTTCTTCTTATTAAAGCACTTTGGGTGCAATTAGATATCGCGGGTGAATTCCGCAATGGAGCTGTAAGTTTACTCCTTAAATCTATGACTATATATCTTTTATACATCATATTAGTTGGAATCCAAGTCATTAAAGACCTCTAGAGTGATCAATTGCAATTATGGTGTTCACGTTCTGATATCTTTTTCTGCATGCCTACAGCTTCCTGGAATTCTATCTATATCCACCAAAGTACTTCCTACTGTTATGAACCTTCTTAAAAAACTAGCAGAGGAGGGCCAAAGACCTGCACATACCGATCCTCAACGTAACCCTCCTCTTACAGCACAGAGCTTCCAAAGCGGCACAAATAATTATAGTGGTGTTTCATCAAGTGCTTCTTCAGAGGTTACTTCTGAAAATGGAACCAAACACACCAATCCTCCGGCACATCAATAAACATTTCTTGGCAGAGCATCTTCTTTCTGTTTGATACCAATTTTGTGGTCATTTCTGAAGATTATGCTGTGCAGCTGTAGATCAGCATTCAACTTGAAGCTGCGAAGAACAAACTGTAGGCACGTCGTGTATATTGGGGGCCATGGTTCTTCAGGAAAATCGCCCCACTAATATATATAATTTTGTCTTTACTCTTTATATGATTGTATTTCTTGATTGTGTGGCCACCATCTTGGCCTCGGTTGTTATTTATTTTCTGGTTTGCCTTCAATTTTGCATGATGAGAAGCAAAATGCGAGTCTATATTTGTATTTCAATGAGAAATATTTTCTTATCTGAATTGAAAATCGGCACACTTGCTGAAAATATGAGATCCTCAAAAGGTTTCAATGGGAAATAGGTACGGCTCATTTTTACACCAACCGTGCTGTGTACGTGGGGATACGGTATTTTCTCATTGGGAGTTGGCAAACAAAAAAAAGAAGAAGGTTTTTCTATTGTACAAAGGGACTCGCTCTTTTTATACCACTTCCGCTAATCTTAGACTCTTAGTTGGGGACAAGTGCTTGTGAGACTATTGAAAAAGAAAATAATCGATTTTAGGGTAGTTATTAAAGAGAAAAATATGCTTCTTTTTGTGCAGATTAAAATCAGATTTTTAGTAGATTTTTATATAAAAAAATAATGAAATATCTGGTTGGAGAGTTGTAAGGTTTCATAAAATATGTGATTAAAATTAATAATTAATTTTGATTTGAAATTAAAGTTCAATGTTTATCTTCACCGAATAGGGATTCACGTCCGTCCATCTAAATTCTACACCCATAATTTTGACATTAAACACAAGTTCCATGATGGACTTAATATAAAGGCTACGGTCATTAATGAATAGAAAAGTAGTTAAGTACCACCAAACTTTTGACTGTTTTTTGGTTACATTTAAGCTAATTGTACAATCTATTACCATAATGGCAGATTAATTACCTTTAGGGCTATGCTTCATTTTGATTTAACTAAAAAAATCGATTAAAATTTACGTCAATCAATAATTAATTTTAACCACACATTTTATGAGATTCATAATTTTTTATAACACATTCCATGAACTTCTAGCATAATTTACTAAAAAAATATTTTTTTTCTAAATCACATAGGTCGATGTTCATTTGTCCACGACATTCCTCAATCGGTGAAATAATAGGAGATCAATCGATCAAAATTTAACTCAAGTGGTATGAGCAAAATTTTGCCAAGTTGGGAAGGGTAAAATTGTACTATGCAATTCAATTATTATAAGTTTGTCAAATTTCATAATTTTCAGTAAAAGTAGGAAATTAGGACCGGTAAGCACGAGAACTATTTGCGACATCAATCAATGGCCTTACCATTCTATTGCTAGGCCACCACATAATTAAGGACCTTAGTCATGTGATAATTTTTCATCAACAAATTTTTCGGCCCTATTCCCCCCCCCCCC